ATGTTGTTTGACATTTGAAATAAAGAAATTGTCTCTCTTTTATAATGTGAAAATCACTTGGATCTGCCTGGGAGAGACACCTCAGCATTGTTCCTAATTGTTTTTGTGCACCCAAATTAAAATGCACGTTTTAATTGCTGCATCTGTAATTTTAGCAGAAATGGTATAATTACAGGCGTGATGCAGAGAGAGTGTGCATCATCCCTTTATTATGTATCCACGTTTTGGTTTCCACCTTTTGTCTTAACCTTGTCTGGGGTCTGTCAAACAGACTAACGGAGGCAGTGCACTCCTGAGAAGCATTTTGCTAAGACTTTTTCAGTTTTCAACAATTATTCCACATTTTACACTGTAACAAAAGAAGCTTTAAATTCAGAAGAGAATGCAGGGAAATTATGAGTGCTTTGTCTGAGTCCATTCAGATTGGCTTTGGCTACGCATCACCCTGTCTTCCTCTGCTTTGTCACTGGACTTTGGGGTGACCTAACTCGCAATGCTAAAATGCTAAATTTGGTACACTCTCTCCTACCCTGAAAATTCATATAGAAAATTCATAAATTAGCACTGTTATGTAATGCTTATGATTACCCCAGGTTCTCCCACATTTTTAGAGGATTTTGATGGAAAGATACAATAATGTTTTTACTATCAACAGATAATTAGAAATTTCACACACAATTTTGGAAAATGTCTGTATAGACTGAGATGTTGGGCCTATGTAGACCAAAAATCTCACATTGCAAAAATAAAACATAATTCTCTCCTGGGCATTTGTATAATGTTCAAAACATGATGATAGGTAGGAACTGCTAAATCTTCCCAAATTTTGTATCATTTAATTGTGTTAGACTCAGACCTTAGAAAAGTTATCTTTCATTCTTTTTTAAAAAATTGCAGGCTTCAATCATTGTTATGAATATTTTTTCCTCTAATGTCTTTTTTAAAGAAAAAAGAGTTTCACTTTTCCAAGTTGATCCAATATTTTCATTCTGGCCTCTATATTAGAAAAATGGAGTAGTAATTACTAACAGAACAGGCATATAAACATCCACTTGTGTGATTGCCTGCAGTGAATCAAAATTGCATTAAGGCAAGACACGCTCAGGAGTCTCATAAAAGATATTTCTTTATTTTCAGGAGTCAATTAATAGGTAATTTTATGTTTTAATATGACACTCTTCCTGCTAAACATAATCAGAACAGTATGTAACTTAAGCATCAAATCATATGTCATCATAAAAGAAGTAGTACCATTAACTACCAGTTTATAAAACACTAACAAAGAGTTTCTAATATTTTAAACCAATACTAAATCCAAATCCAGCATGTCCAAAGATACCGTGCGTTAAAAATGGCAGCATTAAAACTAGGGATTATATATGAAAAATGCCCAAAATAGTAATTTCTGGTAAAAGTGACACAAAATGGAAGTTACAGGATATTTCACTGTTGTATCATCAACTTTTTCACATGGAAAATTCCTGCTATTCCATAACAGTTGTTTTCCCCTTATAAGTGGCAGATGGATTTATAATGGACTTTTTGGTGTATAAATTCTGTAATGCTCTAGCCATCTTCCTGAATGAGATGTAGCTGTACAGATAGAGCAAGCATTATTCTTTCTCCTCCTTGTTCCCAAAAGGGGGAATTACTATTACTAGCTGCTTTAGAGAATTGCTTTGTGTTTTAGTTTCTTTCCAGAACACAATGTCTTCACCACCAGCCATTTAGCTTTGCAATTTATGTTGCAGCTTAAAAACATTTTTGTTGTTGTTGTTTTTTTTACCTGCCCGACTCCAACATCAAAGTGAACTTGATATTAAGAAAACTGTAATTTAAAAGAGCCATGGTTTCAAAGAGATTTAGGAGTTTATTGCCGAGATTCTTCTGTCCTTTCTGATGCCTCCAGTAATATAGACTAATACAGCTGAGAAAGTGGTTTCCTCTCCTGCTGAAAATATCTCATGCTTTGAGTTGATAGTGAAAAAAACCTAAGGAGCCCCATACCCTGACCGCTAAGCTCTTACGTTTTGTACAGTTCATGCATAATTTTATCAGAGTGATGCTACTAAAAGGTATATTCGAAAATAAACATGACAGCAAGGCAAGTATAAAGTTAAATGGCTGAACATTGATGCAGGATGTTGCATTCCAGGAGGAAAAAAGTAATGGAAGTACAGGAATTAATTGAGTAGCTAGTAATGTCATTTAGTAACGTGTTTCAGAAGGAAGTCATATCTGCTGGGTGTGTGTATTAAAAAGATCAAGGTATTAAGGTTAAAAGCAAATGGTAACAGAACAAAAAATCAAGAAATGCAGAGCTAGCAACAAAGAATTTACCACTACCTTCAACCTTCCATCTTCATTCCCCAAGGCATCCTTCTGCACTGTACCTCCATTCTGTACTTTCTGGCCATACTTCAGAGAGATGGTGCTGGCATTTCTCTGCTTAATAGAAATCTCTGGGCTAAGGAAAAAGCAGGATAATCACTGGAAAAAACATGAGATGATAACCAAGTAACAACTACATTATGTGGACCTCCAGTAAAAGGGGAATCTTTGCAATTAACAATACGGAACCTAGCAGCGTCAAGGATTGGCCCTGTCATTCAGGCTTCCTTACAAATATCCTCAGATAGCGACGACGGCAAAGCCAGCATATGGGGCAAGCAACTCCTAAAGCCAACTACCTATAGCTAGGCTAGGACTAGCATTTGGAACTGAGCATGAAGCCGATAGTGAGCCATGGAACTGACATAAATACTAACCTGTGAATGCCAGGGAGGCAAGCTAATAAAAATATCTACATAATCACCTTTATGGGGTATAGGAAGCTACAGCTTGTAAGAGTAAATGCCTCTCTCTCTCTCTTTTTAAATTATGGGCTTCTCTGGGCCACCTTGACTCAGGAGCATTGTTTCCTATCACAGAGCTATATCATGTATAATTTTCATTGAGGGCTACAGATCCACCTTATGATCCTTGTGGAATGGAGGTTACCGACCCTAGGCCAGCAGCTAGCGTGGTCAAGCCAGGACAGTAGTCGGGCAGTCCTTGTCCCAGAAGATGTTCCATACCCATACAGTAGAATCACTTTACAGGGAAAGAACACAGTGCTTGATGTGGAAACTAGGCTACCATGGGGACAGAGGTGTCATAAACAGAGAATCGGGTACAATTTCCTACCATGCCCCTATGCAAAATACAGGAGTATCTTAGACAAGCTAAACCAAGATATCCTTCTGTTTATATTTGCGTTAACATCTATGGCTAGGAAAGCAGAATAGAGCCTACAAATCCATTTCCTGCATGTACAGTGCAATCAGATCAATAACTTCAGACAGGTATGTGGTTTATTCATAGTGAGATCACAACCTTTTCAGAGCCATCACTGAGAACAGGAAAGGAGCATAGATTTTTGGTTCTATTCTTTCCAGTTGAAAAAAATTACAAAATAGATTAAGGATACTGTACATCTTTTACAGTATTATTGTAATTATTTTACATGAGTAATGTGGAAGGTCCATTCAGGTCAGCCTCTTGTTGTTAGAGTTACAATTTTAAGACACCGTTTTTGTATTGAAATCTAAAAGCAGCAAGTTCTGCATTTATAGCTGTAATAATTTACAGCTCTGTGTTGTTTACCTAATAATTACCTAGTCAGCGTCCCAGTATGGGTTCCTTTGCAGTCTTAGACTTGCTGCTTTCATTGGAAAATGTTATTAATTCTGCAAATAGCGCCATATCGAAATGTACGTTTACAATATGTGTGTGTGTTTGTGTGTGTAAATAAATAAATGTATATATTGCTTTGTGTGTCTTCAGAAGAGACCCTCTTTCAAGCAGATCATTTCAATTTTGGACTCCATGTCAAATGATAGCAATCTTCCAGACCAATGCAACTCATTCCTGCATAACAAGGCAGAATGGCGGTGAGTCTTCATAGTTCCGACCAATAATTATGACATCTGTGGGGAGAAATGAAACATTTTCCAGAAAAGTAGATGGCCAAAGGTAGATGCCCAGTGTCTGAATTTACAGCTGTCTTGAAAACTCAGTAACACTAGCCAATTTCCCCACATTTTGAGCTGGAAAATATACAATGGCAATTGTGTAAGCCCCAAATTTGGATTACTATACTTAATACTATATATATTAAAAATCCTGAAATTGGAAGATATTAGAAAAAGTGCCCAAATATGTGATGTGCCATTATTCTCTTCACATTATTCACTATTGTGGTCTTTAAATCCTGCCTCAACTCCAAAATTTTAAGTGCAACTCCCAGCCATCATTGTTTCACTATCAAATGTGAACATTTGTGTTTCCCACTACTTTTTCACATTGTACTTTTTCTGCATAATGATGATCAGAAAAACAAGGTTGCAGATTGTGCTCAGTATATTTAGAAGCAACAAGTTGGTTTAAATCAGATGTACAGCACAATGGCCAAATTCGACCACAAAATTAAATGTGTAAGCATTAAGAATGATAGTTGCCTTATAGTCAGGGATAACAAACAGCTGTGAATCAAGAGATCACAACTCAGTTACAAACTTTGGAAGGAAAATGTTCTTGTCCATAATCTGTGTAGTCATCCAGAGCCAGAACACAGGCTAGTCAACACAGAGTAAGCAGGGGTAATATTTGCCATCTCAAAAAGTTGCAGTCATTATTTGGACATTTTCATATGTACACTATTGCAAGATTCTCTTCTGCTTTCCACTGTTCCTTGAAAAGTTCCCCGGAAAACTGACCAGGCCAAATTGATCAGGCAGTATGTATCCTGGCTACCTGTCTGTGGCATCTAACCTGCTTGTTGTTCTCTCCCGGGATACACGGCTGCAAGAGTAGGTGTGCAAGTAGTTACTAAACTGAAACAGATTGGGTGAGCCCTAGCTTTAATTAGTTGGACTTAAATTAGTCTTGACTTTGTTGTTTCCATTCATCTAGGTGAGTCTTCTCTAAGTATGTCAGACTTGCCATCCACTATTAATATCATTCATTAATAGTACCTTCTGTGCTAAAAGTCTGGACAACTGGACAAACTTAAGCATGTTTTTGCAGACATAAATCCTGTGGTATTTCAGCTGGAGAGAAATATTTTTATGTACAGTATTTACAATATTTGTAAACCACTCCAAAGTTATACACTCCAATGTGTATAAATATAGAAATAAAACAAATCGATATATATAAAACAGCTCTGCTCAGTGTGTGGTGGAGGCCTATGAAAAGGGATCTGTACAAGAGCAGGATAACACAACGAATCTTGCTGTAGTCTAAATTAAGAAACCTTGGCTATTCTCCAGGTAATGCAGAACACAATTTAGCAGCATGCTAGATGGTTATACGCCTACCTCCTTTGGAGGCCAGCTAAGAAAACCACGCAAGAAAGATTAGAGAGATCTGAGCACGTAAATAATATTTAGACACCCAAGAAATCTATAGAAAGTAGATTTGCCAATACAAAACATCCTAAACTTTAAGGGAAAAAACCAGTGGTGAACTGATAACAAGCAAGAGAATTTTACTGCAGGGGTGGAAAATGTGAGTACAGATGGGAGGCTGGAGCCAAGTCACATGATGCAAGTATAAATAGCTTGTTTTAGAACTGACATTCTTCTTCCACTGACTCAGCAGAGTGTGGCAACCATTCCCTCCAGCGCAGCCCTCTGAAGACTACGATGCGTTGTGCCATCTACTGGCCCAAGCTGCAAACTGCGCTGGAGATAACGCTTCGCGGTTTCTATGATTCCGGCGACCCTGATGAATTTTTCGTATAGAATACTAAACAGGCGTACTTGAGAGCAAGTCCCACTTATTTGCTACAAAGGGTACTTAGGGTTACAGCCTTTGAATTTCCAGATATGCTTAGGTCTCCCAACTGGAGCAACCTATGTGCCTTTTTACTGTTTGCTAAACTGGGAAATGGTTGCTAAGGTCTTGGAATCTGCTCATGTAATTAAGAACTTGAAGTAGCTAGCGCCTGTCGTTCGTTTTAAAAAACGGATCATTGTTTTGGTTTGTGATGGAGCAACAGAATATAAAGTTGTTGCATAGGTCAATGCAACTATATATACATACATACATACATACATACATACATATTTAAAAATACAGTCTTGGCAACAAATTTGGAGGTCTCTGGGGGTCATGCCCAAGTGTTTCTGAAGGACATATGTAGCCCAAGGTCTCAACTTGTGCATCTCTGCTCTAGAGAGAATTAAATCTTATTGATCTTAAAACTTGGATGAAAATAATGTAGAGGAGACATAAAGTAAACTTGAGCGAAACAGGAATTGTGCCATATTCTATTAGTAATGTTTGGACTGCCTATCTTGTTTCCTAAAAAAGTTCAGCTGTCAAAAACAAGCACACTGTAATGAGTTTCCTAATCTTTAAAAACTTATTTAAAAACACATTAAAAACTAAGGGCCAAGTTGCTTTAATGAACATTGTTAAAAAGAAATAGTATTGACCATAGATAAAATATATTTAATATATATAAGAAACTAGGATTTTCTCCTAGTTTCTTTTTTGGTTGAAAATGTTACCAAAATGGGGAAATTGGCTCTAGTGATTATGGGAACCCTCCAGAACATCATGAAATGTAACACAGGGATAATTGGTGAAATTCTCTTCACCCCTCTCGGCAGATCAAAGACCTTTGAAACCAACTCTTTCTGTTTGCAGAAGGGCACAGTTAGATACTAACTATTCTGGATATGTTAATTCATTTTAAAATAATTCCACTGAAAATCTTAATGAAATTATTATTTCACTTTATTTCAGTTTTTATCTCATGTAACACTGAGACAGAGTGAGCTGGGGTATGGGAAACAACAGGCAATGTTAATTTGTAGGAGTACTGAAATAAATGGAATACAATGATCACCAATGCTCAACGTAAATTGATAAATTTGTACAGTAAGATATATTAATTGAGCAATGTATAGGAGTCTTCCATTTAATTACACTGTTTTATTATACATTTTTAAAAGAATGCAGATGCTTAGAGAATCTAACCTTTCTCTATAAAGTGTTTTTTGTCTAATGAAGGGAGATAATTATAGTACATACACAGTATAATTTTGACATTTAGAAAGTGTTGCTATTGAGGACAAAGACTTTAAAAGATGGATAGCATCTTGATACATTTTTTAAATGGATAGATAAACAAATAAGCAGATAACTGAAATGAAGATAACTTAGTGCTTTTATTTAAGACTCTGTGTCAGTGCATCTGGTGCCCATCAGGTTATTGAATCAAAACAAACATGGTTTAGTGTGATGACTGAACCCAGCCAATGAGTAAGATGGCGTCTTCAGGTTGTATGGAATTTGATTGGTATAGTGGCTTCAGAACATATTAGATGTTGTGTTTTCCCATTCATTGTCAGGCAAAGGGACAAAGAAATGCAAAACCTGAGTTTTATGTTTCTCATCCTGGCTTGTTAAGCCTGCAGAACTGGATTTGGATCAAGGCTGCACCACCAATGATTAAATAGACTGTGATATTTTATTTGGCAAAATTGGGTCTGGTCACTGGGGCCCTGTTGTACATCAACCATCTATGACAATTCTTTGCCTTAGGCCCATGCCAGTTGAAAGTCGGGTCATTTTGGGGTCAGGCATGCAATTTAGGCAAAAGAACTGGTGGTGGATTGACAGTGACCCTTGGCTCACAGTTCCAGGGATCTTTTCTAGCTGGGCAATAGCAAGCACAGCAGAAACTTCTGGTGTCTTGAACCCTGAGGAGTTTGAGAGAAAGGAAAAACCATACTCAAAATCAAGAGTGGATCCTTTTTAGTTAATTCAAAGAAAACATAGCCCCAGGGCTTAGCTACATATCTCAAATTTCCCAAATGGTAAAACTGAACGATAGAAATAATATAATATGAAGCTTACACTTCATCCTTCATCTTTTAGATGAAATCAGTGATTCCCCAAACATAATTTTCTTTTGTACCTTCAAGTTTATTCCTCTCAGTAAAACAATTTTACAGTGCAACTCTACATATTTTATTTATCATTTTAGTTTTTAAGGCCACCCAATCACAAATGACTGTGGGGAGCCTTAAAAAAAACCCACTGTGTTCAGTAAGGCTTACTCTTACTGACAATGATGATGTGAAGTGATCCCATTCATGTTTGGGGCTGACTTCTGAATATACTTAGGTAAAATTGTGCTCTAAGACTCCTTTCTCACTTCAGCTTAAAAGTTACCTTGATCATCACGCATACACCTTTTCTGGGATGTTAGTATTTTATGGATAATTAAAATGTTAACCACTATTATTTCAAATGCAGTAAAAATTCTGTTAAACTGAAGCTGTAATAGATGATTTGCTACCTAAGGTAATTTAAGTCAGCTTATACGTCATAGGCATAGAAAAACTTTGCCCACACTTGCAGTGAAATGCAGTGGGACTGAGGTCTCCAAGCTGGGAAAATGGACCATCACACTTCAGATTTCAAGGGTGGAAGTATCCTTTTCCTAGTGAAAAAAGAAAAGTAACCCAATAGGAAAAGAATCAGGGATGAAACATTTTCCTCTGATATGCTATTGATTTTATGTAGAGGCAAAAAAAAAAAAAATTGTGCTAGTGGGAACCACTGAAAAGTGTATTTCAAAGCGTCAGGGAAGGACTAGAATTCACTTTCAGCTTATCCTTACATCCTGCTGACTGGCACAGAGATGCCTCACTAACTGTTTTTAAGGGGCATGTCTACATGATTCATAAATATTTGTAAATAAATTGCATAATAAATTTTAAAAATTCAGCCTTGGTCTCATCCCCAGCCAACAGGAAAGCAGCTGAAATTCGTATTTTCTTGTTTCCCCTCCTTTCCCAACAGAAGTCTTGCTGTGCACTTGATCTGTGACACTTTATTGAAGATGTTGATGATGACACAGTCAGGGGCTGGAATCTCCCCAATGTCTATTGGCCACTTTTGGCTTCCCTAACCCTAACCTGCACAGTGCTTTGGGAAGTGCCGATCACATGGATGTAGTGCTCTTCTGAAAAAATACTTGGCCTGCTTCTAAATACGGGTTTAACACGCTATGGTTTTTTAAAAAAATAACAGGACAGGTCTTTCTTGGGTGAGCACTAATCCTGTGCTGCGTGGGAGGTTGTTTCAAGTTGAAAAGAGAGCTGGATCCTACCAGCAAGAGCATATTATAGATTTTCCAAGAAGGATTTTGCATGGCCATAATTTTTATTTTTATTACTTTGATGGAAGGGTACCACCATTTTGTCTACTCCTACATCATTGTGCCTGCTGTATGGACTACTACTGGTCAGTGCTACTCACTGCCACCATCTGTCAATTGTATCTTTCCATTTCACTTCGCTTCCTTCATCTGTACCAGTTAGCTAGACGGTCATGTTACACTCCTCTCTCTCTGCGGAGAAGGAGCACAGGCTAAAGTGAAAGGGAACTGCTGGCCATGAGTTACCAATAATGATTCTGTGGTCAATCACTATCAGTCACTTGCAACAAACTGAAAATGTTTGATTATGTATACATAATTTGTCAGTGCAGAGAAGATCTTAATTCCATATTCTGAATACAGTATATCTTTGGTTCAGTAATACGAAACAGACCAGTTTGCCAGCTGAACAGGGCAGCTGTCAGTAACAGCAGCATACCATTGTCTCCTGTACTAAGTACTCACATTCTTCTGGAAGATAGTTAAAACTGCATCCCAACCTAGTCTGCTTGACAGGTTGATGGCATGGAGAAGTTCTATGGGATGAACACTAACTCTGCTGCCTGTAAATCAGGTTAGCAATAGGCATTGATTTAGTTATTCTCCTGAAGAGCACTACATTTGTGTTTAAAAACAGACATAGAATTCTTTCACCACCACCCCGCCACCAACAGGTTGCCCCTTGGACAAGTTGAAAAGTGGCTATGTGTTCTGTCCCAGGCCCTTGCCTATGTTTGTCCAACCTTGCCCCATCACAGATTGAGAGAGAAGTTGGTGATTGTTTTCCTGCTGGCAGGTAATGTTCACTAGAAGAGGAAATGAAGCCAGGGGATCTATCTGGTGCTTTCCTGAACTTGTCCTGTGTCAGAACTGTACCACTCTCCATACTCATGTCTGGGTGATGACATGTCCTGCAGGAGAGAGATACTGTCTTCCACAATGTTTTTGGGTTGAGTGGGGAAGTATGCAGAGGTTCTGTTCACAGCTGCTGGAATCTTAGATTCATTAGAAACTTCTTTCGACAAGACACTCATATTCAAAACAAAACAAAACACACACACCCTTCTGGAGCAACATGGGAAGATTTGGGGACTTAAATGGAGGGCTGCTGTGTGCAGTCCCATGTTTTTAAGGTATCTTCATGTATTTTCGTTCATTCATCATGCCAGAATGGGATTTATTACTTACAGCTTCAGAGTGAATGTGAGAATTTGCAATGGAGTGAGGAAAGATTCCTGAGAGGGAGGAATTGACAAGAAAGTGAAGCATTTTTTTTAAAAAAAACTATTTAAGTGCAATGATAAAATGATCTACCGCACTTTGATTATATGCAGGATGCATATAGCATGCATGTTTTCCATTTGCATTGAATTTAAACCATTGCATAGAATGAAGATTTCTAAAAATATTGGAGCATTTCCAAATATTATTCTAAAGTGGTGCACTTAATTGTACTTATATGTGGACTCAGTCTCATTATATCATAGTAAAATATGAGGACAACAAATAGCAAAGCCAGAGACTTTCTGTCCTTCTCCATAACTAATTTTAATGACTCTTATGAGTTCTACTGTTCACTATGAGCCTGTTCTGTGTTTGAAGGAGGGGTCCTCCATGGTTAGTTTACTTTCAGAAATGGTGACATTTGAGCCTTTCCTTTTCCCCTTCTTTGAGGGGTTGATGGCTGGGAAGACAGTGAGTGGAAATGAGGTTCAGGAAGGTGACCAAGCTGGATGACTGAGGTAGCAAAGGGCTCAGGAAGCAAGGCATGGAGCCTGGCAAGCTTCAGCTTGCTTCCAACTTCAAGAAGAGGGGCCTTTTCTGATCGTTTATGCAGCAACTCTCTACCGTGCTAATTAAATGTCCTGCTTGAGGCAGTACTGTATGTTTTACTCTTCCACATTTCATTAATGTTCATGTGGAGAATATTTGTGAACAATTTGTACTTGCCAGGGAAAGACCCAACTTAACCAATTATCTCTGTTTAGGTGTGAAATCGAGGCCACTTTGGAGAGGCTGAAGAGATTGGAACGTGATCTGAGCTTTAAGGAACAGGAACTTAAGGAAAGGGAAAGGCGCTTGAGAATGTGGGAGCAGAAGCTAACTGAACAATCCAACACGCCGGTAAGTACCATTATGGTTTTTGTCTTAGAGTTCATCACAGCAGAATCTGACAATCCAACAAAAACTTGAATCTAAGGAACTGCTTAAGCTACGCTCAATGAGTTGCACTCATATGGTGGAACCCTCATATTTTCCTGCTTAAAACAGCAAGTGGCCATATTTTATTAGACATGCCTTTTGAAACTGACTCAATTTCAAGCTGGTTTGCTGGGAAAGTATAGGTGAAGACTGTACTTAATAAAGAATAAAACAATAAAGCAATCTTAGAGCTGCTATAATGGTTTATTAAATTCCAAGTAAATTATTCTTAAATTTGCATTGAAGATAAGGTAACATCCATCTCAATTAATTAAGTTTATATGGTAAATTTCAGTGCAATAATCTGGGGTTTATTCTCAGATAAACGGATGTTGGATCGCAATCTACAGTAAATGCCGATATTTAACTTGGAGCTAATGGAGGAAAGATCTCACTACTATACCTGACTCAGCTATGGACCATTATATTCTGTGTCTTATCTTACTGCTAGATGTATATATGTTTTAGGGCTATGCAGAGATCCAGATGTAAAAGCACGTGGAGCTATTCACAAGGAGATACAGGCAAGTGCAACATGAATGCCCGTATAGCTCCAGTGATCTTTTCCCTTTTGAATCTGGATTGCTGCACAGTCTTAGGATATTGATTTAATCTTAGCATAATTGTTTAGCTCCTGGCTAACCAACTGGAAAAAAAAAAAGACTTAAATGAATCATAGCTGAATCCTACAAAATTCAGTGGACTTATTCAAAGGATGACTAGGTCTGGATCCAGTCCAATGTCCCATTCCATATCTCAAAATACAAATGGAGCTCTTGCCAAAGTTAAAAAGCAGAATCCCATGCATGGAAAGAAATAACATGATCTAGTCAGCTTCATCCACACTGATACCTCTGATATGGAGTCATGTCAGAACTCTCAACCCTGTAGCGTAATTCTGAATCACTGTACTATGCACTGTCATAATATTTAGAATTTGGGTCAGTTAAGATTTTTAAATAAAATGCTTATTACACTCATGTCCCACTTTTCTTTCGAGAAGTACAGAGCATCTGATTGGGGGACAGTCTGGGATCTCCACGTAAGAAACTGAACAGACTGTGATCTGCTTTGCTTTAACAATATGTGCCTTCAAGCTGTTTCCTGGGTTGCACATTTTCAGAAGCAAATGGATGTTTCAGGCATTGGATTCTGTTATGGAAATGACAAATTTTGTTGTTGCAAACTATATTGAAACTAGAGCATGGCTATATAATTAGTCCAACACAGGAAGGAGGTCCAGATTTTAATTTATTTATTTATTTTTGTCATTAATATAATGCAATCGATAAAAGTAGTAGATTTTAGAAGATGGAATCAGCTGGGAGTTGTATAGAAATTGCACTGGGGACTATTTGTATTAATGTGTAAATGAATGTTTTCCTGTATAAAGGGCAAAGCATAAGTAACATTTTCTATCCAAATCTGAATCTTTCTTCCTAAAGGAGTCATTACGGCTTAATTTCATATGCAGTGAAATGATATATATGCCCGAGAAATGGCTGCATAAAAACTGGTATATATAAAAGTAGCTTTCAAGCAGAACACAATTACCTTAACGTCTTATGACATCTGTTGGTAGCAAACAGCAAGGCTTCTGTTTGCATTATTTCATTACTGTCTGTTGCATTTTACTTCTGCCCAAATCGATGAGCTAATGGCCATCGTCCACCACTGCCTCTTGATCCAGCATTCATTTGCAATGTTTATACAACCTGCATATGTTACAGAACGTTGCCTTCTGTGCTCCACTTTGCAGAGTGCATTGTACTTGCTATTTAATCTAAGTTGGGATTTTGGCCTGTTCACTGTTTCTGCACCTTCTTTCTGAGGCGCAGCTTAATGGCATCCGTATGAATGACACTGCATGTGTGTTCCAGCTGTGAACATGGAGTAGCCTATAATGATGAAGCATGAGTGTTTCCTAGAAGCAAGGTGTTCTCTGTTCTCTGTAGGTAGCCCGTAGGCTTCCTTTAATGTCTGCAAAGATTGAGTAGCTAAGAGATGGGCCATCACCTACATGGTTCACAGCATGAAGCATAGCCGTAATGAGCTGATCTTTCCATGAGTGAGGCTAGGGGAATTTTATGCTGCACTTGCTTTTTGCTGCTACTTTGCTGGCTGGCTTTGCTGAGGGAAAGTGTTGTGCTCAATCTATTGTGCTCAGCATAAACTTCTTTTCTATAGGTTATTAATACAACCCTTCTATTGCAAGCAAATGCCGTTCTTGAAAAGGGACGGCTAACATGATACTGAAAGCAGAGTACCTTTTAAGCTTCTGGAATGAAGGGACATATAGCTGAAATGGCTGCTGTCAGATTTTTGAATAATGAAAAGTCGTGCTGTTTCCCAACCACCTTTTCTCCCCTTTTCCTTTGCTTCTTAAGAAATTAACTTCAGAATTCATCTACACATAAAAACAAATTGCTGATGTTTTGTGAACATGATGAGCCTTGTTGAGTAGTGGCCTGTATTTGAGAGAGTGGAAGCAGAAGCAAATTCATATCTGGATAAAAGAGGAATAAAGAGCTGAACTGATATGCATATTTTTCTTCTTTTGCGGAGAATTCAAGTCCATGTGAATAAAGGCTGATGATTTGGTTCAATAAAGGACGGGTTGAAATAAGACCTGCAGACATTTCAAAAGGATGGTATATCGCTGGCCCTTAACATCTTTAAAAGGCTTCTACTGTAAAAATGAGCTGACCTGTGGGAGTCGTCAGCATTTGTAAACCATCTCAAGTCTTTGCATCCTCAGGAGGTTTGAAGGAGCAAAAATGGGACACTGGCCCAGTTGTTACACACTGAGGCAGTAGATCGCCATAAAGGCTGCACCTCTCTAGACTGCAGGCAAAGGCCCATGTGACTGGAAGCTCCTGTTTGCAGCTTTTAAAAATACTTTTCCCACGTGTAAAGTGGCATGCCAGATAAAAGGCTAACCCTAGGATTAGGTGCGCTGAATCACAGATGAGTTCTTCTGCTCCGGCTTGGCACCTAGCATTTTATGCATTCCCTCAGAGCCAAAAAGACCTTGCTTTACCTTAATCAAGAAACCAATCTTGGCATGGTTAACACTCAGAGCTACAGATTGTGCAGTGAGTTGTATAAGCCAGAGCAAAACCATTGGTGATCCAAGATACAAGGGTAATGAAAAATCCAAACTCTGTTTTCCAGGTGAAAGATGAGAGTAGGGTTTAAAAAAAAAAAATTAAAATTCCAATAGGGCTGTATTGTTTATTTCAGGAAAGGGGGCTTGCTTCAGGTCTTTGGTTTGAAATGGTTTCTTCCACAGGAGTCTTATCTGAACTAAACCATAGCATTCAGCAAACAGTGTGAACCTCCACCCAATTGCTTGCGGAACTAAAGTTCCTAACAGAAAGACACATGGGTGGTGATATTATAGAGTTATTCAAAGCATGCTCCAGCTTTATTGCAGAGATTTATGCTACAATCAAGGTCAAAATAGGCAAGAGGTTACTTCCCTCAATCTACTTAATATGCATATTTTGTTACGTAGATAGCGGCTTGACTTTTTCCCCCCCCCCCCTTGCTAGCCCCTGAGGAGAAATGCCCTTTCAGAAGCTGCTGTTCTCATTTCAAGACTAGCTTCACGTTCAGCAGAGTGAAGGATTGCCCTGATGTACAAATAACAGCTTGCAAGAGGCAGGGCGAGGGAGATCTCTCCTCTGGCCCCAGTCGTCTCAAGGCTACTCAGGTTTTACGTTAACAGAAATTTAATCCCGTTTGTGCATTTAGGGCCAACCCCTTTTTTTTACCTCAAAAGGCAGAATTTTAATCTGGGACTGCCTTTGAAGATTCGCTTTAGCTCGTGGCATAGGTGAATCCGTGCTAAAATAAACAACGTGCCCTTCCTTTAACACCAAGTAACTACACTTGGCCCTCGGGCTTCAAGGAATTGGGACAAAGGTAGGGAGAAGCTTAAAGGTGGGGCTAGGCTGGACGCCTTTTAGTTTTTAAAGTAAACATTCTCAGCGCCAAGGCTGCTGTTTCTCAGGTTTTACGTTAACAGAAATTTAATCCCGTTTGTGCATTTAGGGCCAACCCCTTTTTTTTACCTCAAAAGGCAGAATTTTAATCTGGGACTGCCTTTGAAGATTCGCTTTAGCTCGTGGCATAGGTGAATCCGTGCTAAAATAAACAAAGTGCCCTTCCTTTAACACCAAGTAACTACACTTGGCCCTCGGGCTTCAAGGAATTGGGACAAAGGTAGGGAGAAGCTTAAAGGTGGGGCTAGGCTGGACGCCTTTTAGTTTTTAAAGTAAACATTCTCAGCGCCAAGGCTGCTGTTTCCAATGGCATACTTCAGGTTTAACATGATACGGTAAAAACCTATGAGGGTGAAAAGGCAAGTTGCAAACATGTTTTTCCCCTGTTCCAGTAGGAACAGGAACTATTCACTTCAACGGGGACATCCTTTGCTGCAAATGTCGCTGAATCTTTTTAGCCGGGAAGCTCAGCTCATTGTCAGTTTGGGGAAGAAATTCTCGGTTTTATTTATTTATTTTTTTAAAAGAAAAGCTTAATTAATATGCAAGAATTAGCGTACAGAACTTATGTCAGGAATTGGAAGCAGATGGAGACACATGCTAAGCAGAGAGTTTTCAAGTTTAGGGACTAAGCAGCAGCTGTTCAGCACCTGCTCTGTCATTGTCAAACATCGTGGTGACATTGACATGGAATTGAAAGGAGGACAAATTGAGCAGTTTTGTGGTTATATTATGGAAACTCATCCCTCTTAGTCCTGATTTACACATCCAAATACTGGCTACTTATAATGTAACTCAAGGGTGTTCAGTGTAGCGAGCCATCAGTATGAAGCAGCCTTACGATTTATTTTGGGGTGTGTTTTTTTTAATGCATGGATGCAAATACATGCAGATCTTTCTCTTTTCCTCCATTTG